CCCCCCCCCCCCCACCCCGTGGGCGTTTTTAGGTACTCGGTGAAAATATTTTGATTGACAGGTCAGGTTTGATTTTCACCAAGCCCACGTGGATCTTCAGAACCTTGCTTCTCGATAGAACGATAATTTCTGTCACCTCCATTTTAAAGCATCTTGTACACGGAACTAAGAGAGACGGTAGGTCAATTACGTGTTAAGAAATCCTCTTCGCTTAATTCTTATGTAAGCTAAAATTTTCCTTTGTACTACTCTGGAAACGCGCGATTGACTGAACAGTGTTCAAATGTACTCTGGTATTAACTCGGTCCTGAAAATTCCCTGTATTTTCTTACTGTTTTAGATCTATGGATAACTCTAGGATATCAGATTATGACTACAATCTTATGTGCACTGAAAACAGAGAGTTCCTCTACGAAAATGAGGGTATACCAGGAATTAATCCAGACTTTGTTTACCTAAAAAGTCAAACAGAAGTGTCAAAGATGGCGAATTCGAAATTTGGTGAAACAAGAATCGTTCCTAACCAGCAGACGCCTACGAAAAAGCGTAAGCGAAATTCCGTCAAAGATAAGCAAAGAACCGAGGCCGAACAGATTGCGTACAAGAAACTGAAAGAATTAATTCCGTCTTTACGAGGAAACAAGCGAATCACGAAGCTGCAGACCATACGAGAGGCATGCTTGTACATCGAAAATTTGCGGAAAACTCTTACGGGAATTCGCAAAGGGTAAGGAAGACTTGGACCAGATGGCAGGCTTACATTTATTATCACTTAGTATGCCTGAGTTGGTTGCCAGTGTTTGTAGAACAAATACGATTATCTGGAAAGAGCTTGCACTGCAATTAGTCGCGTAATCTATTTAGCTTTTAGTCTTAATGTTTACCTCGACCAGCAATCGATGTACAACTACCGTATTGCGCTAAAGTGTATTCAACATTTTCAGTTGGAACAGCAGTAGTGTTGAACGAAGAAATACGATTTTAGAAGACTGATTTTCAGTAAATTTTTGAGTTTGATATCTAAGTCGCTGGTATATCAAAGAAAATCCGAAATACTGTATTAAGCTTAAATACTTTGCGCATGTTTTTCAAAACAGCCCTGACTGTTCTTTAATTATAAACCTTATGACGGTATTCATCTACGACCAGATCTTTCAAACATTTAATCTGGCTTGACATTCAGCATGCTTTTGAAAGCGAATTTTTCTGTCTCAAGGATATTAAAGGGACACCGCGGTAAAATTAACAAAATATTGCCAGCGGAAAAGTTTTTGTCCTTTCTTAAAACATAGCATTGGTCATGCGTGAAAGCACATCAGACCACCCCGATCTTGGAAATCAGATTTTGATCTATTTGTTCCTGAAAGAGTTTAAACAGTAGGCCAGAAATAGTGAATTCTTCATTTTAAAAGTAAAGTGTGCAGGATTTCAAATATTTTAAATACTGTTTGTTTGTGTGCGTCACGTGACTGTCATGCTGCTCTCAGATTTGAGTAACGCAATACATTCCTCAAAATATGATATAGGATCTCTCAAGTTGAAGATAGAATTACTCTTATTTTTAAGACGCTTTTTCTTGAATTATCGATGTATTTTGCTGTTCGTGTTTGTGATGATCAGAATTTAGGCCCTGTTTAGAGGGAGGTAGCACTGGCGTAACGCTGCCTGCCTTGTAAACGGGCTCTGCTAGGGACAACTCGCCGACCCGGGAAAACTTTATTTGGGTTACAAGAAACAAAATGTGATTAAAACAAAAATACCGGCAAAACAAAGAAATTATGACTTAACAAACATCGTGTCAATTCGTATTTTGTTTTAGTTTTGCTTTGGATAGGAAAAAATTCGAATAACGGCTTTTGGTGCTTTTGCGAAAAAAATTTTCGAAATAATGTTTGTCGCCGACTGTCGCCAAAATATTCCATTGCAGAATTGTTTATAGTTTTGCTGTCAAATTCATCCCTTACTAAAGAAAAATATCTCTTTGATTTCAGCTCAGCTTAGAAATTGAAATGATTTCAGTGGAAGTGATAAACCACGTAATTCAAGTGAAAATAGGTTTTGGCACCAAATTTTTATCGATTGTGTGTATTATTTACTTGGTTAACCAAACTAAAGGGTGACCGGCTAGAGTTGTCCCGGGCAGTAGGGTAACCCTACCTGAAACACTTTGTAAACGCGGGCTATCTTTGACCCCCGGGCTATCTTTGACCCCCTTGTTAGGGTACCCCTAGTACTAGGGTACCTTACCTGCTTGTAAACGGGGCCTGACAAAAACTTCACATATGGTCCATTGTATTCAATACCTTACCAGGTCGTCATTTAAGCTAATTAGATGAGTTGAAACTAGTACCCCGATAAAAGTTTGGCAGTTCAGTTGCTTTTCCAGAAATGTATGGCCCATTTCCATTTAGAACTTGCCCACTAGCTAAGTAATAAAAATTTACGACAGATATTTAGGCCTTACAACTGCGTCTACGCAAGTAAAGTTGTGATATTATTAAATTTATACGTTGCTGGTTTTAAGAGTTTATTAAATTAAAATCAAAAACACATATTTCGTTGTCTGTAGTAACATGAGTGCTCATTTCGCGGTGGAAACGGAATCAACTGAACCATTGACAAAAGCACAAACACAAGCTCAAGAAGACCACTGAAATAATTTCAATAGTTTCGTTTTGTTCTTTCCTTGTGCTTCAATAGGCTTACTTGCAGTCTATTCCGAAGTGAAAACCGGCTAAGTTTCGTCGATTTAACTTACTTCATAAAGCCTTTATAAGCCTTGATGGCCTCTAGCAATGTCCGAGCATGGAAAACACAACCAGAAAACATGTACCAGTGTCTTCGGGTTAAAGAAGCTCAGAAACAAATATCGTGCTCGATCATACTCACCGTCAAAAATGAAGATTGGGAGCCTGAAGAGCCACTTGATGTCATGACATGTGACAGAATGATGACGACCTTATGCGCTCACTGACATGGTGAGAAGAGACGATGTGGTGTGAAAAATTGAAAACGAAGCAGGAGGGAACTGCGGGATGCAGTACCTGAAGTAAGCCTGATTCTCAGACGTCCGACTTCGCTCTTGGTGCAATCATTCCTACACTTCTCATGTAAGGCTCCGCTGGCTACTAGCGACTCCGTCATTCGAAGGCTCAAGTGGTGTTGGGGCCAACAAAAATTTCCCGATAATGTCGTCGACGTAATTTCCGATCACATTAGGTGGTGATTGGGACGTTTGGGATCAGGACTGTGCCAAAACAATTACAGCTCTCAGCTGAACACAGCATATCTCCATTTTACACTTTTCCGCCATCTTGATTTCCAAGGAAAACCAATATACAATGCAGCCGTACATGACGTCAGCTCGTGACCTTGAAACCGCATAAAACTTTCCCACGATTTCCTACAAAAATATGACACCCCCGCAAAAATTTGCACTAGCCATCTGACGCAAGTGTGTTCCCGCAGTTTTAAAGATATGTTTCTCTTTATACGTTGCACGAAAATATGTTGTGAAACCGGCAAGCTGTGCACAATCATTTATACTGTCTCATAACATAATTTTTAGAACGAACAATTTTCCTCCTTAATTTTATTTGGAATGTTTGAGATAACGAGAAACGAGGGTCGTCCACCTTATGCTAAAAAATCGTTTCTGGGGGGAGAATCTTTTCAAAGCGATACTCAGTCCGCAAGGCCACGAAAGTCCACGGAAGCTTTTTGAATTCAAAAAGCCAGAACAATTGATCCCAATCCGCGAAGAAACATATTATTATGCAATGCATCATTTCATTTTACCTCATTATCTTCAATCAGTTAATATTTAGTTTACCGTATTTCCCGTATTACGCAAATTTACTACAAAAACACCCCTTCCAATGTAAAATTCTCTTTGTACCTGATGAAGGCTGGTTTGGCCGGCCGAAATATAGTCACACTTTTAAAAGAAATCATCCTACGTTATATCGGTATCTGTTTTTATATTGTCCTCATTATGCTTCAGTTTTGTTACTATCATGGCTACAGTAACTTAAATTGTGCCACAATATGCTCAGGACTAACAAAGAGAACAAAAACCGTCTTACTGCTTTTGTGATGAGTGAACAAATTTGCCAACGACATTATAAAATTGAATTTTTTTGCGTCACAGTCATTCTAAATATGCCGATGTTATGTGGACAATCAAATATTTCCATTGCTTCGTGGATTCTCAGAAAAATTCTCACTAGTTTGGTGCCTCGTCCAGATGAACAAAGAGACACTATTTCTTCTATTTCTTCTATTTTTTTTATTTTTTTTTTATTTTTTTTTTTAAACAGACTTCCTCAAAGTCTCTCGGTCCCGGAGCTTCACCTTCTCTTTATGGGTACTAGACTTATAGAGA